TTTAAAATATGCTGTGCGGGCCACCACATTTTATTAAATTCATAAAATTCAATAGGGTTGACAATTATTTGGATTTTGGTTTTGATGGATTGTGGCCGTTTGATCTTATGGGATCCCAATGACCTTCTTTTTTTATCTCTATATTTTGTCAATACAAAGTCTATATTATTATATTTACCATATGGCAAGAGAAAAAAAGACCATACCATAAGTCTATAAATAATTGAGTGATGTGACAAATGCCATTAAAGAGTAACCTTATAAAATTCTCATGCTTCTATCACTGCTATTAATTTCCTTCCTCATTTTTCTTTTACATTTATTGTGACAATCCATTTAATCATCAAAGAAGGTAAGGAGTAAGCTAACACGAATATGAATCATCTATTATGATTTTCTCTGTCATGATATGCTTGACATTTATACTTCACATGTCACCTCATTCAAATTTAATTTAAGGGATATAAACTGGACACGTCATCCTTAAAATAAAAACTTAATTTAATCATGTGAAGGAAAGAAGTTAAGCAGATCATGACAAAGAAAATCACAAAAGATCTTAATTCAGCTAACACTACATTCTTATTTTTCTTTTTCAACTTGTGATTCGATGTGGGATTTATTCTGTTAAAATAATTCAAAATATATGAAACGAATCAAAGAAAATGTATCTCGAATGCACTATGAAGTAACATGGATTCATAAGTAGGTAAATGATTGAATTCCGCATCGGAAAGGTCCGTATGTTAGACAAGTAAGCTTGACGAGGACTCCAAACTCTAAATGCGGAGAGATTGTAGTATCCCGAATGTCACATTGGAAATGCACTAGAAATATTTATGGTACTTAAGTGAGATATATAAATCTAAGAATTACATTAAGCTAGCCCTTTTAGATGAGATATTAAGTCTTTAAAGGAAATGTAGGAAATTTTTATTTTTTGTAAGTCTACTGTTTCATTTAATTGTCAAAGGTTATAGACTCGAGCGAACAACGTGCCCCACTGACTTGCTTCATTTGCAGACCTGCTTTTTGAAGAGAGAATGAATTAAGGCCCATAATATTAGAATTATGACAATTTTTCACTCCAGTAATCGAGGGAGAAAAAACACAACCATTGTCAATTATATTCAAAGGAAATGCAGGATGAATGCGAATGTATGGCTGGGAAGAATTCCACAAGTAATAACATCTTTTTCTTTTTTGGGCTTGGACCACAAGTAACAGGATTGATATTAGCACTTACAAGAAGATCAAAAAACAACTATAGAAGTTGGAGGAGGAAACAATGTAGTGTATGCATTTGGATTCATTGTTTTGTCTTTTTCGTCAAGAGCTGAAGGCCCAAGAACAGCCAGCCCAAAACAGAAAAGCAAAGTGGAAAAAAACCCAAATTCATTAAACAAGCCCATACCATATACAATTGATTTGAGAGACCTTTTGAGTTAGCTGAAATTTATTTTGTTTTTTATTTTTATGAAATGAGTTAGCTGAGTTTTAACTTTTAATCACTAGGGAAGGAAGAGATCTGGAGGGAAGGATTCTGCCATGCAATAGTGTAATTATGGTTGATGAAGGTGGAAGTTTGATAGAAGAGATTGAGAGTGTGTTCTAAAATGCTTGCTACACCAGTGGCGGGAAGGAGTGGCCCTGGGAAGTAGCTTGATTGGTTCGAATCCAATTCGTGAAATATGAAATGTTATTGATGTCCGCAAAAGGCTTTGTGGAGCCCAACAAAAAAGTAAAACTCCCCGCTTACTACACATTCATATAAGATAATAGGGGATAGTAGACATGGAATAAGTTTTGGGATGCAAGAAAGCAAAGAGGTGATAGGCGGCGCAATCAGGCAAAGCAGTTAAGCGTCAAGGTTCTTTTGCTTTCCGCTTCGTCGAGTGTGATAACGATCACCAAAGGTCAGGCGAAATAGGAACGGAGTAACGCAAACTCTAAGAGAGAAATGGTTCCCCATATCATTTGAGATTCTCTCCTTGGGATTATAGCCCAGTGGGAAACAGGGCTTTCGCAATCCCGAGGACAAAAGTAAATCACCCTCCATTTCTTTTTACCTTTTCCCTATATTATATAATATAATATATATAACTTACTAATAGACAATATGTAATTTAAATTAATAGCCTCTTTAAAAACAATTAAATATAACTAATTTTTTTTTTAAAAAATTAATTCTAACATGTGTTTTAAACATTTATATGTATTTAATATACTTATGTTTTCTATCTCGGCCTTCCAATCTTACAATACAATTCTAGCTCCCCTTAGAGCATGTCCAGCGCTAGGCAATAACCCGGGCAGAAGGCCCCCCAAAGCCCAGTTTCGCACTCCAGCGCAGCACCTGCAGCCCGGGCAAGTCCTGGGTCCCACCAGCCCGGGCAGGCCCAAGGGCAAGTTCTGCCTGGGCTTCAGCCCGAGTTTTGTGACGTCAGTGCACGGAAATTCAAATTTTTTTTTACTGTTGTGCCACGTGTCGCAACAGAGACGCTCCGATCGTTTTTTTTTTCCCAAAAATATGACGGTCATCATTTTTTTTGGCTTAAAAAATTGTAAAAAAATTCGAAAAAATTTTGAATTTTTTTTTTAAAAAAAAAACAAAAAAATTCTTTATTTTTTCCCTATAAAATACATAACCATTTTATTTACTTTCCACACCAAATCTTCATACAATTATTCTTTATCCAATATTTTTTAGTCACCACTCACATTATTCACTTTCCACACCAAATCTTCATACAATTCTTCTACATCCAATATTTTTTTTATCCAAAAATTTAATTACAAAAGATTATCAAAATTAATGGTTTAAAGTATAAAAAAAAGGAAATAAAGTACAATGAATAGTATTTACCTTTAACTTGCCCTATACCTTGCCCTCATGGGTGGATTTGCAAATGGCAAGGCTGACACTATTTACGTAAATAGTGACAGTCATTGCTTGCCCTTGCCTTAGACTTAGTCCTTGTGGGTGGAGATGCTCTTATGCTACACAAGTTATCAAAGTTGTCACGGAATGAATCCATCCATGTATAGAAATGTGATATGAAAATGATGACGCAAGAGAAAAATTTACAAGACAAAGCAGATCAAATAAGATTTAGGAAACAAGACAAGATCCAACCTCAATTCATGAGACACAAATTATACAGACTAATGGAGCAAGGAAAAAAAAAATTCCATCCTGTACAATATTTTTAACATTCAGAACACAGCAATCAAATGATCACAAAGGCAGCTAAATTAAAAAGGCGCTGAGACACAGTCCCTCGGCCCTTGTGATCTTATATAATTATCTTCTGAGTACTCAAGTTCCTCAACCGAATCCATCATTTCGTCACCATTTTGGTCAATCGAACTCGCCACTGGCACCAAACCCTGCGAAATTTATGAGTTAATTAGCTCATGTAATGCGGTATCTCTAATTAATTATATATGTTCATCCATAAACCACGCCCACCTCTGTGAAAATGCTCATTGCTTCTTCTATATTCTTTGTTTTCAGCACATACCTAGCTGCCTCCTGCATATATGAACACCATGATCACCAAATCCAGAAAGACTACAAAGGCAAATAAATTAAAACTCATACGAAAAAACCAGAAAAAAGAAGAAGTAAAACCGACATATATATATATGTGTGTGTGTCCAGTTGCGACATGTATTTTAAGTGGTTAAAAGCAATTATTTCTTCTGATATCAACGCTTATATATATATGCATGTTTGAAAAAAACCCAGAAAACATTTTTCAGCAAAAAAAAAAAAGACCCAGAAAGTTTTCATTAAACATACCCTTGCAAACTGAATTTGATCAAACCCCAGTGTTCTTGGCTCAGTTTCTATTGATGTTTTCCTATCAATCCGTACGTTTGATGAATCTTCCATCATTTGAACAGATAGAGACAGATAGAGACAGAGAGAAGAAGAAGAAGAAGAGACAAAGCCTAATGATATTTCTGTAGGTGTTTGAGAAAATGAAATATGGCTATAGAGATCAACGTGAAAGGAAGGCAGGCAGGCTTTATATATAGCTTTATATATATATATATATATATATACACACACACACACATATTTGATTTGGTAGGTCACATGACTCATTGACTGATTGCCTCACCAGCCAATCGCATGAAGAGGTTTGGTGTGAGCAACTTCACCACGTAATGTTACGTGGCCTGTTTCTATCCAGAAGAATGCGAATACGTGGCATTCAAGGATGGCAGGATCGCACACGTGGCGGCTGATGGTAACATCGTCCTGATGCAGAAAGTCTGGGCCGGCCGAGATCCCCGACAGTTTTCCAAATCAGGGAAGATATGGCGATTTTCTTCGGACACCTGTCTGCGTCTCACGGCACCCTACGGAGACCAATCAGGGAGGACCACGAAGACGTTTGCCAAGCTTGAGAGTTATGCATGTAAAGCAATATAAGAATATTTATGCACGTGGAAAAGAAGTTGTTGTTGTTGTTTGTTTGTCGCCGTGTTTTTTTTTTTTCTTTCCAGAATAACCGACATGGATGATACAAAGTCAGAACAAATGAGTTTATAAGAATTCAAGATTATACGCATTTTATGTTTTTTTATTTTTATACACGTGATATTTAGACAGCGGAATTAAACATAAGATTTCAGGTGCGTGAATAATTATTTGAGAGACTCCAATATAAGCCCATACAACTGATATCCCTTAGACACAAACCCATCTATCTATATAACTACGTTGAAAACCCAAATTCAAATTTAAATGACCAGTAGGATATAAGAGGTCGTAGTATTTCTATGTTTTTACATCGTTGCCACTAAACTTCATATTTTATTTATAATTTATTTCAAGC